TGCCTGCTGAGGAAAAAAATCCAGCACTACTCAACACTGCTTGAAGAACCTTTATGTATTTATTTTTGGGGAACATGGCCTGGACTTCTATCCTGACCAAACATTTTATCGGTGAATTCTGTTGAGTTTAGCACAACTATTCTGAAAGTAACCAGCACAAAACTGAGCAGAAATAAGCCAGTTGTGTTTTTAAAGGTTAATTAACAGCTACCTTAGGGAAGATCTTTATTCAATAGTTTTATTTATGCCTAGTTCTGAATTTTTACACTCAAATCCAATAAACAAGGACCTTATAAATTTCTATACAGCTTTAAAGGAAAATTGAAGGAGTGAAGAGGGAGGACTGGCAGACAAACAGCTGTCCACAGGGGCAGTTAGTGCAGCCGTACTGTTACATTCCTGTTGCAGTGAAAAACAGTCCAGAAATGTGCTTTTTCTGGTGAGATACTTGCTCTTCTTTATAAAGTGCCTTCTGCAACTGAGGGATGGTAATCCTCAGGGTGATTGTGATTAGAAAAGTTGTACATATTTGAATAAACTTCATGCATTTATTTATGCTGAAGACTTTAACTGATGGAAAAACACTGGCAATTTCCCTTGAATTTCTTGGATGTGCTGTAGGCTTATTTTGGGGACTTGCAAATTGCAAAAATGGCATCATTATAAACTGAAGCTAACAATAATTGCACTTGAATAAAGACCATGAAAGTGAAAAGATGGCAGATGTAACTGTGAGCCCTAAGGCCTAATAAGGTAAGTTTTGAAACTGTTCTGTTTCCATAAAAAATAAAAAATAAAAAAATTGCACTTAAAAGGAGAGGAATTTTAGCAGGGAGGGAAACAGGACTAGTGAGAGCCACCTTGTTAGGGGATCTGAATGTGTATCACGCCATTCACAACGTGTTTCGCACTGCCACCCGCTCCAGGACACAGCATCTGGTTGTATTTCTCTGCTTGGCCATCGCTTGCTCCATGTGCAGGCTGAACCAGAAGCCACCTCTGCAGTAAGGCTGCAGCAGCAGCAGGACTGTCCTTATGCCCACATGTAGACTGGGACTTAACTGGGCTGTCCTGCTGGCTGCTGCGAGACCCAGCAGTGAAAAACACGGCACGTTAACAACTCTGGCACTGATGTATCCCTCCCAACATTGTCTTTTCTGCAGTAAATGGGGTTTGGGTTAACACAAACCCACCACTTGACAGCTCCTTCTCTGCCAGTGCTCCATGCTGAAAAGACACTGGAGAACATCTGGGGAGCTCTTAGGCAAATTCCAGCCTCTGGTGGGGGGTAAAGGCAAGTCTAGCAAGTGGGGGGAGAAAACTACTCCAGAATGCACCACTATGACCTGGCGCTCACATAAGCATGATAAAAGCTGTAGTAAATATTTTGTGTGGTAAGGACTGCCTTAAACTAAATGTTTAATTAAAATCTATGCATCCCAACCATCTATTTTAGTGAGTGGGAAAGATTCTTTCTGTCTTTATTTCTATCTTTCTAATGGGCACAAGAAGGAATATACTTTATGAAAGACTTTGACTGGAGTTGGTTTTGGTTTTTATTCTGGAAAAAAATCCTTGAAAAAGATACACACAATTGAAAAAATTCTTATGACTTTAAGTAAACAGTTTGATGATCACCATCAGGTATGTGAGCATTGTGCTATGGGTGGCACGTGGGGGGAAATCTTCCTGTTCGCCTATGGACATGGTGAAATGTCTCCCATTCATCCTGCTTTTGTTAGGATAATGCCTTCTGTGTTTTATTAGAAGGTCTTTCATTGAACATCTTTGAATTAATCTGACCAGACTTCAATAGGAAAGTAAACCTCCAAACTCTGGTGAGTATTGAAATACTGATAATTGTTACTGTACTTTGTGAGTAGAAAGGATGAGGGAGCATTTCACCAGGCTCACAGTCCTTGGAGCCATTTGGTTGGATTCAGTGTGAAAGAGCACACTGAACTATGGAGAGGTAGATAGGGACTCTGAAGCTGAAAGTAACCTGAAGAAAAGAGTGAACAGAAATTGAGTAGGTAGAAACAAAGGTCTGTTTTCTCTTTCAGTATTTTTCTTTAGTAGATAAGGCAGTAGCACTACAGCCCAGGGCAGCTGTACTACTAAGTCAATGAAAAGCACAATGCACATGCTATGTGAGAAAGGCCATTAACAACTGCTGTGATGGTTTAGAACTCAATGACAACATATTATTCACATTACATAGCCTTTCATGTGGCTGGCTGTTTTCAACAACGCTTTCTTGTTCCATACTGTGGAAGCTTGTCCTAACCAGGTAACTGGTATTTGTTTCACTTGCTGCAAACAGCATCAGCTGGCTTGGACAGCAAGGGTTGGATTGCGGAGGCAGACAGCTTGGCGGTGTTCTCTGGTTTAAGGCTGGTGATGCAAGGGCTAGATAGTGCTAACGGTGTTTGGGGTTTTGTGTTTTGGGGGTGGTTTTTTGAATCTACACTTCCTTAACTACTCACAATCATGCCAAGTACATATTCATAACAGGAAGCTAACAAACCATGCTGTCCTCCCAAAAACGAGGAATGCAGATGGTGTAAAATGAGTCTTGAAACTTTTTCC